TTTTTTTGCTATTTCATTGACATAGATAAATAGTATCCGTCGACAATCTGGATAACCTACGCGAAGTAACGTCAGAAATAATTTGTGCGGTATCACAAGGACACCCTCTGTCATCTTACGGGTGGTTTGCCATACTAATGTCATTGTTGGGAGTTCAAAACAGGAGTACTTTGTCGCTCGTGTCCCTTGTTTTTCCGCTCAGAATCCACGCCATACATTCCTAATTCGATCAGTTCGAGGAGACTTAAAAAAGCTCGAACCGAAAATATATTTCCAATCATCGGTGTTTGTATTTTTGAATTAATATCTTGAATGCCGACTTTAAATTTGACCAAAGATTGATAAAATTCCCACTAAATACCGGTTTGGAGTCGCGCAAAATACTTACCTAGACCTAGAAGAGGCAAGTAGGTATCTCAAGAGGCCTGTTGTTCGGTAAAAAAAAGTATCGTAATCAGTGATCATGATACTTTTTCCCGTAACCATTGATCACGGTAATATCGCTGATAAACACCTCAAGATGCACTTCAGCACATAAACAACGCAATTGTTGGTTCAAAGAACATTCCTAGAATTCTATGGATTTTAATCCAAAGTTATCCAATGATCACCACGCGCCTCGTTTTCGGCACCAGTAGAGTTACCTGGCATATATGATAGGACCTGTGGACAGCGCCTCATATCAGGTATAGCAATAAACCAGATATGCGAGGAGAGCACCAATACCACACCACATCCAACCTGCAGTCACTTCCTGCATCATTGCGGCGCTGAAGGGACAGTATCAACACAGACAACTACAACACGCGCTCGATAAAGAAGCAGAAGAAAACTTGACTCGTAAGATTAACAAGATATTGTTGACTGCTCGAACCGTCTTCGAGTTTGACATTAAGGTTTGGTGACACTCCAAGTAGACCACACAGTAGAAACTGACGCAATAGAAAACGCCATTTTCATGCTTGTAGTATCCGGACCTTGAAACAACATTGCTGAAATACCTCCTACTGCGACAAAAATGCGAACGGGGCCAACTCCGCCGTGAAAACTAAAAAGGGTGGGGGGACAACTCTACTCAAATATCGGTAACAATGTCTTACAAGCTCGCTAGATGCTATCAGATATGCGGGATTGAGAATCAATTTTTTTGTGTTCGACAGGTATCAATTATACTCAGTGCATTTTACTAGTCGGTGGATTAAATTGAAAACAGATATAGGAGTATATCGGGCTTCTCAGGTATCGTTTAAGACAGGTTAAACTGTATACACATTTATTGGAGGATTTTCTATTTGGATTTAAAGTTAACCCTTTCGCGAGCCACTTTAGTGAACTATAGTATACAAATCTAGGATAGGTGGTATCAAAGGAGGCATTTTGCCTTCTTTAAGGCGAGTGATTGTCCACCTTCAAATCTTCCAAGTGTGATTTGCTTGGTTTTTCTATGCCCATAACGACCTGTCGTAAACGTACTTAATTATAAAAGGAGGCATTGTGCCTCCTTTAACATGGATACATCGTCGTACTTAGTTGAAAAGCAGGAAAAGGAGGCATTCTGCTTCCTTTTATCGCGAAAGGGTTAAGTGCCAGAAACAGGCATAAGAATTAACATTATAGATTTTAATATGGCCCACCTGTCAAAAAGGAGATCCGTTCTAGAAGCGTTAAAATCATGATATTTTTGTATAATTCTCCGTTATAGCAAATATCCACTACTAAACCGGCATTATCTGTGAAAGAATTGAGAGTTTACAAACGAAGGTTGGTGTCGATATCCGCAGATGAATAGAAACACGACAGTGAGATAAACTAAGTTAGATGTGCTAGTCCTGAGTGTTTCATCCTACACATGCAGTTCTCCTAGTACCCACTTGCATGTTTTCCTCTTCGCATACAGTTAAGTATAGCGGAGCAGGGAGGTTTTCTGGAACAGGGAAATAAAAACAAAACGCGTATACAAACACGAATCACGAAACAGAGAGAATATCTTGCA